TTACTTTAAAGAAAAAATCTTTTCAGGGATAATTAAAAAGTGCGAAAAAATATTATTAGATCCGTAATCTTTTTTGTTCTTGTTTTTTTTTATATCGTACAAAGAGAAGATGCTCACAGATAGAGCCATAATTAAAATTTGTTATAGAAGATGAGCGCGAAGCGCCTTAAAAAGCTAGTTTTTAGAATATGTTCAATGAATATAAGAATCCTTCAAGAATAGAGTGAAGAGATATTGGAATCATGCTAACTCTCAAATCTAGGTTTCCACATTTACAGTTCACCCATTTTTAGTTATAAAGCCTGAAAGTTACAGTTCAGTTATTTTAAAAGAATAGATCGACGTTATCTTAAAGGGACTGTAAACTTAATTTCAAGTTACCCCTCAATGCCCGATTTACAACGGTACCCTTGAAACCTTAATCTGATCAAAAATGTGGATGATACTGACTCAACAATTGTTTATTTTTGAGCGTATTGAGAGTATTTAAGAGTATTGAGAGTATTTCCATTACTGCGTCTGCAAGTCACTTTAGCAGAGAAATTGCCAATGAATAAAATCAAAAACATGAATATCGAATTCATATTTGATCAGACAAAGCTTTCAATGGTACCGTTGTAAATCGGGCATTCCCATCTATACATGGATGGTCTTTTGAAATTACGCTTAAACTCCATTTCAGACCACGACATTTTGCATCTGTCTGGGTGCCCTTTAAATCCTTTAAACCCTTTAAACCCTTTAACCCTTTAAACCCTTAAAACCCTTTAAACCCTTTAAATCCATTAAACCCTTTAAACCCTTTAAAGGATTCCTTTAACCCCTTTAAACCCCTTAAACCCTTTAACCCCTTTAAACCCTTTAAACCCGCTTCTTCAGTAAATAATCAAAGGGTTAAAAAAGTTTTAGTTTAGATTTAGATTATGTCACAATTTTCAGTCATGTTATTAGACTCTAGAACTGCTTTTAGTTAAACTTATTTTTTTTCTTTTTAGTCCAAATTATAATCCAAGTTGAAAAGTTTAAATCTTGCTTTTTCCCAGGCAAACTTTATCCACAATATGTTGTAATTCTGTCTGCTTCGGTTCTGTCAGATTTTGATTATGTTTAAATAGTTTTAAAATATTTTTTAGCATCATCTCTTGTTTTCTATTACTGTACTAAGTACTTTATATCAATATTTGCATGTTTTGAAGCCATAGAAAAATCCATGAAATATTCAAATAGAAATGTTTAGCCTGTGTTTCATAATTAATCCTTAATTACCTACACTCTGCAGACATTTTTAGAAGCAAAATCAGGTAAATTATAAGACGATAAAAAGTTTAACTTATTCAATTTTCAAACTCAAGGGTTTTCTTTATAAACTTCTATATTGTATATCGTTGTAAAGTTAAGTGACCCTCTATGAATCCAGCCTAAAGTTTGTTGCATGCTTAATACCTATTTAGATCTGAAAACAGGGGTATATAGGGGAGGGGTGGGGGAATTAGCTAATATACATCTAATGGAGTTTTTTAATCATTGTATTAAAGAGAAATTTCATAGATTGATAAAACAATTACTTTTAATTGTTAACTTCTATCAAATGTTAGTTGCACAACAGTCTCAATAGTATATCAAAGTAAACATACGTTAAAAACTCCAGTTTATAAATTTCGTTTAACAACAATTAATGTCGACTATTAAACTGTAAATGTTTTAGTTTACGATTTAATTTTTTCTTTATGTTTACATGTACCGTAAAGTAACTACTGTTTGTAATTTAGGTTTATATGAACTCAAGAATTCTACTATGAGTACATCTCTTTTATGTGCTTTATGTATGTTCTTTCGGTATGTCATGCAGTTATACCTTTTTGTGTACTTGTAATGTAAAGCTTTAAACTGCATGTGTAAACTTCATTTTAAAACGCGATATGAAAATGTATATTCTGTGTACTTTAAGTTTTGCATGTAATGCCAACAATTCTTCTATGGAAATGAACTAAAACATCTCGCTCAGTTCTCATAAAATGTAATGAAATTGAAAAGGCTCTGACAGAGTAACACAACTTTAGAGGTTGTTCTTTTGGGTAATATAAAGTTACGACTGAGGCCGGATTAACATGAAGTTTGAGGCTGACTGTATTTGTGTAAGAGTAAGCCTCCACCAAGAGACTGAATCTGAGACAGAGGCTGCAGGGATAATCTGCTGACTTGGCCTCGTTCAATCCTCGATAGATCGGTAAAACTGTTAGTACATAGTACAAATTACATAGTTTATAGTACATAGTACATAGAGCATCGTGCATAGTACATCGTACATAGAATATCGTACATAGTACATCATAGATAGTACATCGTACAAAGAACATCGTACAAAGTACAGTGTACTAAGTAAATCGTACAAAGTACATCGAACATAGTACATATAAAAAGTACATCGTACAAAGTACTTCGTACAAAGTACATTGTACAAAGTATATTGTACAAAGTACATCGCACATATAGTACATCGTACATAGTACATAGTGCATAATACATAGTACATATAGTAAATAGTTCATAGTAGTTACATAGTACATTGTACAAATACAGTATTAAGCTGAATTATGGATTTTAGTTTTGCCATTATGCTAAGGAGATATATAATAAATGTTAAAGAATATGTTTTATAAGTTGATTAAAGACGACCATATTGATTTCTTTGATGGGAGTGTTTGTTAAAAAAATGAAAGGGTATATAGGTATCGAATTTAATTCGATATCGACCACTGCTAATTTTACTTCAACCTTTATTGTCTATAAGGAGAAAATGGTAAAAAACGACTCATACCGAACTTCCGTAGAGCGTAGGACCCGTACAAATTCATAGAGTTGTATTATTCCATTCAGATCGTAAATAATTCAATTTAAAAAACTACTAATTCAAATATTACACCCTACAATTGTCGAATTCAATTTAATGTATTTGTGGGCATGAACTACTGTAAGGGTTTGTGAACATTTTTAGAATTTGCTGGGCTACAAAATCCATTGGACTTAGAATGTGAAATTCGCATGTTAATCGTTTTAAGCACCCTACCACCCCCTAAATATACCTCCACATTAGTTTAGCCGTGTCATCGATCAAGTCGATCATGTGAAATATGCATTCTAGTTTTTCCTTCAATATATAATCTCGGAATGTCACGACTCTATACTCGTGAATTTTGATATTTTGATATTTTCTCAAGAAGAAGATCGTTAATTTTCGTATTCATCATCAATGACATCTTGTTATTAAATAAATGTTCACAGAATTTTAACGGGAGTATAGATGAACATTATTCAAGTTTAAAAATTTCTCGTGGCATTTTTATTTCTATCCAATGTTTCTGTATTTAAATATATGTGTTTTTTTAATTCTAAAAATACGAACAAGGTGTGCCTTAGAACTGAACCTATTCTTTCTTATATAAGAATTTTAACCATCGTTCTTCATGTAGTATAGTGCACTGCATGTAGACTTCCTTATAAAGAAATAAATCATCCCACAAGTTTGAACATATTATATATGTAATTAAACATAAGTAAGATCTGGATATCTTAGTTAAAACATAGTTTTAGATTTACAAATTATCAAAATAAGTATTTTACCTTACAAATAATTAAGACTGTAGACTGGAGGCAATTAAAAACAAACAGTTCTCTAATAATTCAGCATTAATTTAGTTTAAAACTTTATCTATAGTTCACAGATTTTCAATGTTTTAAACTTTAAATTTTAAAATTGACATGGCCCCGCCCTCCGGGAAAATATTTCTCTGAAAGAAATGGTCAATATTTAAGTTTATAATTTACGACTAACATGAAAAGAAAGAAATTTGCACTAAATATATTCAATTTATAATACAATACAAAATACAAACTTCAAAGTAGTGCATTGTGTAGTGTGAAGTGTGTAGTGTGTAGTGTGTAGTGTGTCTGAAAACTTAGATAGTTCATACTGAAAACTTAGATAGTTCATACTGAAAACTTAGTTCATACTGAAAACTTAGATAGTTCATACTGAAAACTTAGATAGTTCATACTGAAAACTTAGATAGTTCTTACTGAAAACTTAAATTATTGATTTTAAAATATATATTTTCCAGGGGACTAAACCAGATAAATTATAGGGTTTAAAATATTTATTTTCCAGGGGACTAAACCAGTTAAATTATAGGGTTTAAAATATTTATTTTCCAGGGGACTAAACCAGTTAAATTATAGATTTAAAATATGTATTTTCCAGGGGACTAAAGCAGTTAAATTATAGATTTAAAATATGTATTTTCCAGGGGACTAAACCAGTTAAATTATAGATTTTAAAATATTTATTTTCCAGAGGGCTAAAGCAGTTAAATTATAGATTTTAAAATATTTATTTTCCAGGGGATTAAACCAGTTAAATTATAGATTTAAAATATGTATTTTCCAGGGGACTAAAGCAGTTTAATTATAGATTTTAAAATAAGTATTTTCCAGGGGACTAAACCAGTTAAATTATAGATTTTAAAATATTTATTTTCCAGAGGACTAAACCAGTTAAATTATAGATTTTAAAATATGTATTTTCCAGGGGACTAAACCAGTTAAATTATAGGTTTCAAAATATTTTTTTTCCCAGGGGACTAAACCAGTTAAATTATGGATTTTAAAATATTTATTTATTATTCATTATTCTTTTTGTTCCTTCCTTTTGCTTTCTTCAGTCTTACTTTCATTTTTTTGCTTCTTACTAATTCCCTACTTTCCTTTTTAATCTTCAATTTTCTTACTTACTATTTTCTTACTTACTACTTTCTTATATCCTAATTAATAATTCCTTTCGTAATGATTCGCTTTCACAATTTTTAAATACTATACATTTCTTCCATTTTCATTTAATTTTTTAGACTTTTTTCTTTAAGTTCATGTACTAAGGTTGAGGTAAATATTTACATAAAGTTAAATTTTCCTAAACGTGAAACTTATAATGCATGAAATTTTCCTACCTTTAAAAGTTCAATCTTGTAACTTGACACTGTCTCATCCAATTCTTCCTAAACAGAAAGACTTGCAGAAAACTATTTTTCACAGAAAGAAAAATAGAAAACTATTTTTTACAAAAAGATAAATAGAAAACTAGTTTTGACAGAGAGATAAATATATAACTGATTTTAATAGAAAGATAAATAGAAAACTAGTTTTGACAGAAAGATAAATAGAAAACTAGTTTGACAGAAAGATAAATAGAAAACTAGTTTGACAGAAAGTTTCTACCTCTGATTCTGGAGTACCAACAACAGGTATCAAACTTGAGGACACTTCTGAAAAAAAAATATTAAAATTGTATCTTCCTTTGAACGCATTATATTTGCAATCTCCATTAGTCTTGAGTGCCTAAGAGTGAAAATTCAAGTTTCCAAATCATTTATTCTAATTTATTCCAGATTATATATTTGCAAACACATTTCATATTTCATATCTTTACAGCATACAACCAAGCACAATATTCAAACTAAGCAAACCAGCTTCAAATAGAAAAATATAAAAAAGAGAGAGAAAAAATAAAATAGCCGCCGCCCCGAAATAAAATGGTGTCACTGTATAATAAGATTGTTTCTAAACCTGTGATAATCAGATTTCTGCCATCTTTCTGTTTTTATATAATTCTGAGGAATATGTTTCAACGTTTATGTTTTTTCTACTGATCAATTCAGCTTCTAAATGTTGTTTTCAATACCACAAATTTTTCTTCGTACAACATAAGAAAGAATTTTTTTGATGGATTTCAGGAAAAATTTTTTTTTGAATTTTGGGAAGAACATTTAATTTAATACCTTGAAATTCTGATTGATCAAATGTGTTCTTTTCACCATGCACCTAAAGAAATTTAAATAAATATTAAATAATTTATAATTTAACACTACTGCACTACTACAGGACAAATTTGACCTCGAAAACATGAAAAGTCCGACAATATATGTTAATTTAGTTAAACACTATATATCTTTGTAACCTCAGGTTGAAACTGTCGTTTAAAATACTGCTAATCTAAAGCGCCAGATCTTAATATCCCTTGTAAGGGTAAAAAGTGTTTAATCCCTCTATCATAGTTTTCCAGCCAGGATCCGACAAAAATATATTTAAAATAAACTTATCTATTATTTGTACAACAAAATAAACGAACTAGCTGCTTGATCCTTGGATTTAAAGGGAGTGTTCACGAAAAATGAGAGTGGGTATAGGTTTACGGCGAAAAATAGGCGCTTTTGATCGCTACTAATCTTACTTCTATCTGTTGCGTCTATAAGGAGAAAATTGTTAAAAACGACTCACACCGAAGAACGCAGCGTCCATACAAATTCAGAAAGATGCAACATTCAACTTGGAACGTAAACAAATCAATTTAATTCCAAACAAATCATTCAAATCATTATGAAATATCAACTATTTACGAATGCGTTGAAAAATACTCGATTGTTTGTAATATCTGGATGATTTGTTTGGAATTAAATTGATTTGTTTACGATCCGAGTTGAATGTTGCATCTTTCTGAATTTGTATGAACACTACGTTCTTCGGTATTAGTCGTTTTTAACAATTTTCTCCTTATAGACGCAAAAGATAGAAGTGATGTTAGTAGCAATCAAAAGCGCTTATTTTTCGCCTCAAGCCTATACCCCCTTTCGTTTTTCGCGAACACTCCCTTTAAATCTAAATGTTGGTTGAAGTTTTATGTCGTATTGAACGTGCTGATATTAAAAACTAATATCTCTCAGTAAGTCTCAAAGGTTTACACAATTAGATTGCTAAGATATAGGGATTAGAAACTTGGAGTTTGAGAAAAGTAAATTTGAATACACACCTCATTGTTTTCTGAAGAAGCATTCCAAGTATCATCCGTTTCTTTTAGTTTTTTTACCGTTACAACAGGGGGGCTTTGTACATAATCAATTCTTGTACAGTTTGGACTCTGTACATTACTAGCAGTTGTACAGTACGATTTTTGTACAACTTTTACTAGTCTGCAGTTGTGAGATTGGACATTAGATCCAAAGGGCAGATTAGGTTGGGTTTGAATGATATTAAAATAGGGATTGGTTTGGTTTGCACTTGAAGGTTTGGACAAACCAGAAAGAGATAGAACTTTAGGATTAGATTTGATGGTTGTAAGTCGCATGGTAGGATCAGAGTTCACCCAGGTTTGGGTTGATGTGGAGTTAGGACGTATCAGGGTTAGGATTGGAGAAGGAGCGGAACGTTTCAAGGTTGGATGAGAAGTCTGGATTGATTTGGATTGGATTATAACGGGTTGAAGAGTAGAGTTGGATGATGTCTGTTGGGAATTATCCTTGGAATTTGAACTCGACATTCTTAAATTCTTTGGTTTAATCTCATTATTCTTCCCACATCTATGAGAAATAAAATACATAAAATATATTTAGTGATGAAGCCCCCCCCCCCTGCAGCATAATCATATACAGTCAGACCCATCAAATAATAGTATAAGAGGACGACATCTAATCAAGTTTGTGTGTATTTGATATTGTAGTAAAGCAAATAGTTTTACATGATTTCACCACGGATTACGGGGATTTATGAAATTTTGTATTTCTTAGATTTGAAGTATTCAGCGCTCTAGTGATAACTAAAAAACTCTAAAATAGGAAGACGACTTCTAGAATCAAGTTATAACTTTCAAAAGTCCAATGAGTATGAGACACAGCATGTTTTCAATGCAAACAGACCCATTTTTTTTAAATTTGTGATTCAAAATGTGTCCATTAAAATTATTTGCTTCGTATCAACATCAGATACACTTATGTATTGCTATAATGTCGTCTTCCTATCATATTTTTTTCTGGTTATCACTGTACACAAAAATATTGAGCCCTAAAGCCACAACCCCCCCCCCCTGCATTTTAAAAGTTTATTGATCAATGCCGGTACAACACTGAAGTGTATATGCATCTTTCTAGAGGGGCCCGTCTTGGGAGTGGCCTGGGGGTCTCGCCCCCCCCCCCCATATATTAAAAATCATAACTTTAGATTACCAATCGTCTTCATTTTCCCATGTTATTGTAAAAATAGTTTTTTTTGTATTTTGTTCCTGAATATAGTTAATCCGTCAACAGTAATCGCAGTTGAGGTTGGAGTATTGAAAATGGAGGTTGGTGGGCTGATAATGGAGGTTGGTGGGCTGATAATGGAGGTTGGAGTGAGGTTGGAGAATGTTGCCGGATGGAGAATGGAGGAGGAAGGGGTCAACTCACCATTCTCATTTTCTAAACAATAAAAATGTGATTATATATAAAACAAAAACTGATTACTGATTAAAAAAATAAATTTCCAATATTTTTGCAACCTGACACCAAATATAGTGCAAGGTTCAGCTACGGTTCAAAAGAAATGGTTAAACTTAATTTAGGTAGTTCAACTTATTCTCGCCATTTATTTAATTTGGTCCCAGAACTTTGTCTTTTTGATCTACCAAAAGTCAAAGTTTGAAACAACAAAGGTCTACGACATAACGCATATCTGGTTTTTTCAAACCCTTTTCTGAATTTTTTTTGAACTATTATATTTCTACTAAACAAACGATAGATCTTAATATCCCTTGNTTATATAGAATCTATCTTATATAGAATCTATCTTATATAGAATCTATCTTATATAGAATCTATCTTATATAGAATCTATCTTATATAGAATCTATCTTATATAGAATCTATCTTATATAGAATCGCTGCTCTCTGGATGTTTTGTAAGTAAAATTGGTCTTGGGAACCCTGGGTAAGGTAAAATCCCATTAACTTATCCTCATGAACTCCCAAGGGATATGTATTTTAAAGAAAGATTTTGACAAAATCCCAGTCACCCTCCCCCCCCTCTCATGTCGAAATTGTAAATCATCATTTCGACATAAGCCTAAATATATTTAATAAAAACAGACCGCTTGATTTTTCTTTAACGTGAAGTGTATTGAAATTCAAAGGAATTGAGTCTTTGTAACACACTCGAATTCTTTTAGTGGGTATATCTTTGCAATTCATGATGGTCTAAACAAACCTTAGATAAACTTAAATTATTTTGTATAACTTGAAATAGCTTGATATATCTAAGGTCTACGACATTTGGTTGCTAAGATAAAAGGTTTAAGAAACTCTGCTTTTCTAAACCCTAAATCTTTGGATTCCAATGTCGTAGACCTATTTCAAACTATGAATTCTGTTAGATCAAATAATATAAGTTTCAAATATCAAAGATTTGATTTACGACATTGGGTTCTAAAGATATTAGGGATTATAAATTCAGAGTTTGTGTCAAAGACTCAATTCCCTTGAATTTGTGGCAATAACTCAATACTTTTATCCTTTAAATCAATTTCAGTTTCAAATTGTGAGAGAGGAAGCTTTATGGCCAATCTTAATTTTGTTAAACGTGTTTTGAAAGTATTTAAGCTGGCAGTAAAACTAATCTATATACATGAAAGCAGGATTTGTCTGGATTAGTTCCCGGATTTTTCAACTCAAGCTTTCAAGTTTTACAAAATTCATCTGTTTGCAATATCTTATGTAAGTGTAACCCACACCCTAGCCTGTTTCACACATGTTTTACCCAAAAATTATTTAGATAGAAAAATGAAAAAAAATAATTTGCAAAACCTGCAATAATTTCAAAAATGGCAAAAATTCAGCCTAAATCTAAAAATTAAGAAAAACTCATAAAAAATTTGCCATTTTATTTTTGAATTTTTCTTAAACAGAGTGTATATGATATATAATAAATATGAATTATAATAAAACAAACAATAATTTGGACATTTAAATTTCTTGGAGACAATTCTTTTATTTAAAATCTGAAGCTTTATTCTGACGTAACATTGATAATGCTTTTCTTTTCTTTTGTGTATCAGTTTTCTTAGACAAGTGTTTTTGGGACAATTTAAATTTCGAGCGAAAATAGAAAAAAAAAAAAATTTTCTTTCCATAAACAATAACAAGTCATTATTATAAGATCTAAATGCATTAAATCTTAAATCAACGTACTTTTCTGTAAAATGTTAGTTTTTTTTTAAAGTTGAAAATTCTTATATTTCGTCATTTCTTTTGGGATTTTTTTGTAACACAAATTTTTCTTCATGGAGAAATGTATTGCTTACAAATATACAAAAAATGTATTTTTTAAAAGATATACTACATTTGGCACATGCCACATATATACGGTTCCTAAAATGTCCCTTCATATGCAGTACAGACTGACAAACATCTGTAATCTGACAAATTTCGTTTGATTGTTGAAATTAAAAACTGTATTGAATAACTGCAATATCAAACCTGAGACTAATGACTTCACATGTTTACATAATATTCCGGTAAGTTTCTGAGAAAAATCTTGACTATCAGGAGAATCATTGTTTTTTTTACAAAAAAGGTAGTAAAAAGTCAAGTATACCGAAAGGTAGTAAAAAGTCAAGTTTACAGAAAGGTAGTAAAAAGTCAAGTATACCGAAAGCTTTGATGCAAATAAAACCTCAAGAGTTCCGCCCACCCAAGGAGGTAAACCACCTTGCACCCGTCTAATTCTGTTAAATAAAAACGCACCGGGTCAACCATATACGTACTGCCATTAAATATACTAGACGAGTAAACTGGTTCGGAACATGAAACAAGAACTTATTTAATTTTTTTAAGAGTTATAACAACTTATTGTGCAAAGAGCTGGTTTCGTGACATGATTAATCCTTAATTTGTTATAATTTATCAAAAAAAAGTAGTTTAAGCCATTAAATTAAGCTTAACTATAAGAAACATAATGGTTAGCTTACAGTTTAAACTGGGGTATTTTAAGGGGTTATGGGGGGGGGTGACTGGTTTTTGTCACAATACTCCTCTTTAAATGTATTTTTCTTGTGTTTCATGGTGAGCATTGACAAAATGAATATATTCTGATAAACTTTTCATTTACAAACATTGTATCAATTGTAGCTTTCATTGATTTTTAATGATTTCAATTTATAATTACTTTTCCCGTTCGTATATTTATTCTTGAATGGATCCTGTAATCCCGCAATGTATTTAGATGTCGTCTTTGTTACAGCGAGTATTTCGGAAGAAACATAACATTTAAACAACTTAAAGACTTCACTCAAGCCTTACTTGACAAAAATAATAGGTTTATGGAATAAATCTATTGCGGCTGACCCCCCCCCAAATTTTCACGGATTTTTCTGTCTAAATTAGTGCATTTTCAAAATTAATAAATTTCGACATTTTTCCTGGCGAAATTGTTCAACTTCGACCAACCTTCCTTTGACCCTTGGGTCATAGAGTTGTCTCAAAATGTTTGGCTAGATCGGTTCAGCCGTTTTAACAAGAAAAGTTGATGTATAGAGTATAATCTATAATTTTCTTTATGTGAAGTACAAGAATAAATCTAAACATATTGCTGATATCTTCAATCTACATATTTATCTAAATTCTTTCAGAAAAATATATTTTTAAATTTTTAAATTAACCTGTTTGTTGTGAAGTAAGAAGAGATGGGTGGACCAGACTGACCTAAAAATATAAATTATAAACTAGTTGAAATTCATGGCGTTGCCTGTGAAATGTTTAAAAGTGGGGTTATTATTCGTTTTAGTTCCTTTTCTTAAACTTTTAATAAAACTTTTAAACTCTAGTCTGTACTTTGAACCTGTAGTCTGTACTTTGAACCTGTAGTCTGTACTTTGAACTTGTAGTCTGTACTTTAAACCTGTAGTCGGTGCTTTAACCCTGTAGTCTGTACTTTAAACCTGTAGTCTGTACTTTAAACCTGTAGTCTGTACTTTAAACCTGTAGTCTGTACTTTAAACCTGTAGCCTGTACTTTAAGCCTGTAGTTTGTACTTTCAACCTTTAGTCTGTACTTTAAACCTGTAGTCTGTACTTTATACTTGTAGTCTGTACTTTAAACCTGTAGTTTGTACTTTAAACCTGTAGTCTGTACTTTAAACCTGTAGTCTGTCCCTTAAACCTGTAGTCTGTACTTTAAACCTGTATTTTGTACTTTAAGCCTGTAGTCTGTACTTTCAACCTGTAGTCTGTACTTTAAACCTGTAGTCTGTACTTAGGATAAAAATATTGCAAACTTTTGAAAGAGCAAACTTTTACAGAATACTATTTTGAAATCTTGGAATTTCACAGTGTTTGTGTGTTGTGTCTTTAAAAGTCAAAAACCAAACTATATATCCCTTCACTAGCTTTATAACGCTCTCACGCCCGGTTCATTTCAAGAACCAGCTAGCTAGCTGTATGATTATACCAGGCAAAACGGGACGGTACACCAAATGAAATGAAGTCCCTTCTAGGGAAATTCTCGTGATTAGGCCTCTGGAAAAAATTACTTGCCCCCCCCCATGGCCCAAATACAAAAAAATTGGCATACAAAGTGAAAGTTTTTTTATATTTTCCTAAAACTTAATGGCCATTTCATAAATAAAATTGTGTAAAATGATTTCAAGCAATTCAAGGGCATTATGGGAAATATTAAAGAATTCGATTTTTTCTCATATTTATTCCCGTCTAGCTGAAGTGTCCGGGAGTCCCGGGAGTAACTCATAGTTAAAAATAGGGTTAAGAAAGGATAAAAGATAGTACTAAATCTTTATTATTAAAGTTATTTTTTGTTATAATTAATATGCTATTCTTTTTATATTACCACTAGAACTACTATCTCACTCTTAACCTTTCTTTCAGATATTTTTTTTTTAGAATTAGTATTTTTTTCCGAATGGATTTAAGATTTTATCCTTTTTAATTTTTGTTTACATATTTACTGTTTATAACTTATTATTCCAATTATCATTTAATCAAAAACAAACTACGCAAGATAATGTGAGAAAGCAGGCTTGGCTTTCTAAGCCTAAATTCAAGCATCTTTACAGCTGCCATCAACCCTGACTTTGAATTTGAAAACTGATCAAGGCCAACCCATGATAGATCTCGGCTTTAAAGCCAATGACACTCACCACTGATATATCAGTCCAATTCCCTTCATCTTGGTTCATCACGTGATCACGTTTAAATTCAGATTGTTTGTTTACATTTACTAAAAAATGTGGGTAAAAAAGTGTTCAGTGTATTTATCATGGAAGTCTGGAGTGTACAGTCTGGACCGCAGGCAACAGCTGATCACAGCAGATGGAAAGATGGGGCGCAGCTTAAGATAACAGCTGATTATTGGTTTTCTGCTTTCTACAGTACACAAACACAGAAATAGTGTAACTGTGTTCATATACATTTTGTGGTGAAACAATCTTTATTACGCTATGTGTACATTTGAATATTTGAACTGGGCCAACCTTTGCGGTCCTAGTTTGTACCGTACCGCCAGTTTACAATTGCTTTAGATTTATGTATATATGTAAATATATATCCATATATTTATATATAAAGAATTGACGAGGGTCAACCCAGACTGAAATATATTTTCAATAAATGTGGAACTAATATCTAGTTTTTTTACTTTACATAGGTTTGGTCCATTTCCATCATCGAATTTTAAATATATATTACATTTTGTGTGGTGTGCAATACTTTGTTCATATACAAGCATGCATGAATATATATATTAAAGATATACATATTACACAATATATACACCTTTAATTTTCTAAACCAAAGTTCCGAAAATAAATAAGTGAATTATTTACATATATTTATTATTTAAAATATGGTTTGAATTATGATAATATTTTTGCAGTCTTCTTTCTGTAAATTATTAAAATTATGCTTGAAGGCGCTTTAAATGCTAAAAAACGCTATAAGCGCCTAAGAACAAAAAATACAAAGTTTTTTATTCGTTCTATAAATGACCTATTCATTATATTATACAAATTAAATAAAGATACACCCCGACCCTGCAAACTGTATACATGAATGAGAGGGTCAAAGGAATTGAGTCTTTATCACAACTTAAATTTTCTAATCCCTATATCATTGTAACCTGATGGTGTAAGCTATTGATATTGATTATCTGATCTAACAAAATTCTTAATTTGAAATATCTAAGGTACACGACAATAGGTAGCAAAGATATTGGGATTAGAAAATTACAGTTTGTGGCAATTTTTTTATGAGACATTTATGGTATGATTTACGACCTCGTAGCTCCTATAGTTTGATTAAGGCACAAGTATGAGAAAATTATTTTTGACAAATTATAAGAAATGTCTCCGGTACATATCAGAAATTATAAGAAATGTATCCGGTACATATCAGAAATTATAAGAAATGTATCCGGTACATATCAGAAATTATAAGAAATGTATCCGGTACATATCAGAAAAATAAGTGTACTGCAGTTTCTGGGAGGAAGGTAGGAAAGTAAACAAACCTCGGCCTGAGTAGCATTGAGTTCGTTTACATTCCTATACTTTTAGAAACGTTTTTATGTAAACAATTATATTATATTATATTATATTATATTATATGGGGGTTTTTGTGTATTTTTGGATGAAAATGCTCATGCTCGTCTTTTCATAGTTAAATACTTTTAGAAAAATATATTAATTCAAAATGTCAATACTAGGTCTTCCCTATAGAATTGGACGATTCAAGGTAAAACTAAAACAAGATATTTTTTAACGAAAATCCAGTGATAATTGAATGACAAAACATCTCTCGTTGAAGAGTAAAATTATAACATTTAGTCCTATTAATATTTAGATAAAATAAACCGTTTTTGATAAAAAAATTTAAATGTTTTAACTTTTGCTCAAGGATCATAGTAATTTAAGTCTCAACAAAGTTTAGATATGTTTACGAATCTAATACTGTACACTTGTATATAGAGTGATCTGATCGTATCCCTAAGGGGGATTTTATGGAATTGATAAATTTTAAGATTTTCTTTCTTTATATAAAGAAAATTCGAGAATGTTGACTGCAAATATTTTACCACCCCCAAGGGGCCAAGAAATACGATCACTCTATATACAAGTGTACAGTGTTGGATACGTAAACATATCGTAATGTACACAACCGACCACTCTATTAATTAATTATTAGAGAGGTCGGTTGTGTACATCTGAGGTAAGCTTTACCTCTTCGTTTCCTTTCTCTATGCTGGTAAAAATTATAATTTGTTGAATTTCAGAAAATGTAAAATGTGTTTTTATGTATTTTTAAAATAAATTTTTTATTTAGATTACAATTTTTCATGTTCTTCTCTCCTGTACAATAGTTTTCTCAGGTAAGTTCATGTACTACATTAGTGTACACAGCAAAATAGTGCAGTACAGTACTGAACAATGCAGTACTTTTCAGTAAATTAGTTAAGTACTGTAAAGAACAATTTTTTAGTACTGTGAAGTAATATACAGAACACGTGAGCAGTACGGTATACAGACTACAGTATATTATTTGTAAAAAACAGTGTACAATCATGTCACACACGCTAAAAATGTCACACAACATATATATAAGTCCCAAGAATCAAGACAGTTGAGAGATGACATTAAAGATCATAGAAATAATTTGAAAAATTAATTTAGTGACCTTAAGTTTTAAGTTGTTGAAAAATAATCACAAAATACCCCTGATCTTGGCATTTCAGAAATGTGGTCTGTTTTTTATGCTTTCAAAAGTATTATATTTGTAAAAGAAGGTTGGCGAATGAATACCGCAAAATATTTAGAACACACCAGACTAACCAGAGTGAGCAGCATTCGGTTTCTTCTATTTGAAATCAAACGTTTTTTGGTCTACAATTCAATAATCATTTACTTTACGGATTTGTTTATTTTATACATTTTCATTCAACATGCATATGCCAACAAAAAAGTAGTTAAGAAAAAAGGCTAACAAATTATGTTTAATGGGTCAAATTGTGATCGAAAGTCAAAGCTTTCTGTAATATTGACAGAACCGTTAAATTCACGGTGAGAAGATCAAAAACTATCTAAAATTCTTCTCTTTTAATTTATTTGAAACACCCTGTCCTTTCTCTTTAAATCATAAAATTATTGTTATTAAACTATGCAAGATTATATTGCCCCAGTATTGAACTATTCCTATGAAAATGCGCCAAACTACTATTAAATATTTCAGGATTCTGGATTTTTGTTCTCACAAAGCTGATCAATTCGATTTTTGATCGAGGAACAAAAATTGTTGGAGAAAGTTAGAGAGAGCTAGTCCAAATCATTCAGTATGAAATATCACAAGAAGGATCTAGTCATGTTTAGTTGCAATGATACCAATTCTATCTCTTTTCTTGATCTCATTTGGTTAAAGTTTTCAATACAATAGCTTACAAATTGCGATCAATGTTGTTGCAATAGTAAAAGTTTACAATACAATAGCTTACAAATTGCGATTAATGTTGTTGCAATGGTAAAAGTTTACCATACAATAGCTTACAAATTGCGATCAATGTTGTTGCAATGGTAAAAGTTTACCATACAATAGCTTACAAATTGCGATCAATGTTGTTGCAATGGTAAAAGTTTACCGTACAATAGCTTACAAATTGAAATGGTTTGTGAACACTGCCCAGTTGATGTGCTTAATGTTCATTAAACTATTTAAAATTATAAAAAGTCGTCTTTCTTTTAAAATTTTTTGTTCTCACTGTATGAAATCGATGAATTCTCACTGTATGTAATCGATGAAAGACCATGGATGCCAAAAAAACGAATTTTTACTTTTGTAATCTTCAAGTTACCAAGAGAAAGTAAACAATTAAAAACATTTTCTTCTATTCTCATTTTATTCTCTGCATGTTGCACTATTAAAAACAGCCTCCCCCCCCCCATCCATCCTTTTTAATTAAAACTTTCAAAAAACTTTTCTTTAATTATACATCACTGAAACAATGTAAAAGAAAAAAATATATAAACAATTTCAAGTAATAATGTTCTGTTTTTAATTTTGTATGACTATTACACATGTTGTCTTTACTGATACTTCTTCCCATAATTAATTTAGCAAGCAAAAACGTAATAATATATATTGGAGAATAAACTGGTTTTGAAATGGGGGAAATAATTTGTATTATTTGAAGAAAGTTAATGATAATTGTTGGACGAAAAAAGAACAATCTTTTATATGACCTGATAATCGGGACTTATTTACTACTTAGTGCTGAACTATGCATCGATTGAATGATTTAAAGGTCTATACTCAAAAAGAACTGATTACTCGCCGCAAACTCAGATTTTTTAATCAGCATATCATTATGTTGTAAACCGCTTATATTTCAATCTTTAGGAATTTGAAATAACAAAGATTAGATCAAAGCAATCAGAATTATAAAATTCAAGTTTGTGGCAAACAGGGTATATAGGATGATAAGAATCTATAAAAAAAAATCTGTTCTCAATGTGAAATAATAAATATTTACTACTGCTACAGTCTTTTCTTACTTAAACGAACTGTCGGCGTAATTTAAATATAATTATCATTAAGTTCTCCAGTCGCAAATAAAATTTTTTTTTTTTTTTAACTCTATGTGTTACAAAATAACCCCAGACAAAATTACCAAAAAATGTAACTTAATATTACAAAATACAACCATCTCATTAATAAATGTAATCTAGTCATTTTTGAATCTCATGTACAGCTGAATGTAATGTGTATTTTTAATCAAATAAATTTGTTTATTAATATAAAAATTACTCAGAATAAATTCAAAGATTAAATACAATTTAAATTTAAAATTAATTTAAATTGAAAATAACATTTCTCCCAAAGTATAGATAGAGTGTATAGCTGGTTTTTCCCAATAATAACTGATGGACATTAAACAAATCGGCTGCGAGGTAGCCCCATGTCAGCTGCTTTACAGAAACATTAGATAGAGATAAAGTAGTACCGAATTGATCATTGCTAATCCCCGAACCATGACCAAGATAATGAAGCCCAAAACTCTTTATTGAGTATACCTTATTAGGCAACATTGGCGAAGAATCTTGTATGTATAAAGGTACTGTCAAAGTAATGTGACCAAGGTCCAAGATTTTATGCCCGATTTACATTTTTAAACTTTAATCTTCCCTCTACACAAACATTACTAAGATAATCTTGTTTTAATGTCTAAAAATTGATAACTTGATAACTTACAAACCGTTTCCCCACGAAAGTTTCCTTCAAGAAAAGTTTCCCCACTAAACGTTTCCAAAAAACGTTTCCTAAAAAAACGTTTCCTGTCACAAAACGTTTCCTCTATCACAAAACGTTTCCTCCACAATATGTTTCCTGCCACAAATGGTTTACTCACATAAAATTTCCATCACAAAACGTTTCCTTCACAGAATGTTTCCTTTACAAAACGTTTCCTCCCACAAAAAGTTTCCTTGCAAATTATTTCCACCATAAAACTAGATGTAAACTTTAACTAATGTTTATATTATCAAATGTTCCTTTCACAAAATGTTTCCTGTCAAAAAGGTTAAACTACTCAAAATCTTCTTACAAAATGTAGGTTTAAATATTAAACATATTTGCATGGCTTGATGGTTCATTTTTTTCTAAAAAAAACTAAAAGTTTTCAATTTTTTTTTCAATCACTTTCGGGGATTTGTCATTTCCAGTTTCAAATCAATTTTTCTCTATATCATTACAAAGTAAAGAGTATTTTAAATTGTTAATTACATATTAATTTCAAAAATATCATCTGTACTTTTTAACATATAACAAATTAACATATACATTTTGTACAGGAAACATTTTGTACAGGAAACGTTTTTTAGCAGGAAACATTTTGGGTCAGGAGTTATTTGGTGGAGGAAATTTTTTGTGGGGAAAGTTTTGTGGGGAAATATTTTATGGGGAAACATTCTGTGGGAAAAAGTTTTATGGGGAAACATTGGGGTAGCGTTCTTTTAAGTTAGAAACCATAATTGTTATCATTCTCATTGTTACTCAAATAAAACATTACTGCTGTAATATCATGTTTACAATCCTTTCGATCAGGCTTAGGCTTATTTTAGATCTTATATGCCATTGAACCAATAATCAAATTGTTACTCACCATTTCACCAAGAGCTAGGTCCAAAATTCTTCTTTTTATACCAGGAGAAAGAAAGATAGGGTCAGAGTTTTTACATGCCTCCCATTTTGGATCTTTTTTTGGCTCATTTTTATTCTCGATTAAATCTTCTGTCCCCAAGTCTTGTTTAGTTTCAGGTTGTGTATTTAATATTAATTTCCAGAGGTCATCTTCTATCCCTAGCTTGTGGTTTTCAGCCATCCTAACCTTCTCTGATCTTTTATGATTCTCTATTGCTCCAAGATTATTTTTAGTAGGTTCAAATAATCTAGGTTGATATGAAAACATCTCTAAATCTTGTTTTCCAGCTGGGTCTTCAAGTTCTAAAAAGAAAAATTGTAAGAAATCTTTCTGTTGAATTGTCATGAAACTGACCTATGAATTTGTAATCTGAGAACTGAAAATCATCCCAACTAAGTTGAACAACTGGAAGAGTAAGCTCTACTTGCTCCTCCAATCTTGCCATCTTTGCAGGAGTAAGATCAGGGTTAAGAGCATCTTCATTCATTGCTTTCATCTTGGTTGCTCTTTGGTTTTCTGGATTAAATGCCAGTTCTTCCTGGCTGTTTATTACTGCAGAGTCTGTATTTTTCTTGTGAGGTGGGTTCAGAGCTGACCGGTTTGAGAGGTTGGTTTGGGTCACAAAGCTTAAGTTGCTTCACTTCAGCCTGAAATCTTTCAACAATGCAAAAAGTTAATGAAATTTAAATACAGCCACACTGCTAAGAATGTATTTTGTCTAGTCAAACCGTAAATTGTTTTATGTTTAAAAGAGCAAATATCCCACCCTGCACCCAATTTTCCGATTGACCAAATGGTATAGATCCTAAATTTTGCAGTTCCAACCAATCAACAAAGATCATGGGTTTCTTAATTAGCTGGATCTGCAAAACGCCTGCCAACAGGACTGAGTATCCAATCAGTGTGTGTGTGCCTTAAGTTATAGAAAAATTTCTGTTTAAGAAAAATCATTATGATAGGACATCTTCTATCAGAGTAGTAGTTATTATTTTTATATAAGAAGAAGAAAGATGTTCAGTGACCTAAACCTAAATGGATCCTCGTTCAAACTGACCGGGGTATCAATTTCTGACAGGAAAGATGTTCTAATTGCAGGTCCCCAGTCCATTGGTATATCTTTATTGGGTTTATCTTCATGTTTGATCTGCAGTCCTGTTCTTGCTTCTGGTTCTTTAACTTCTGTGTCTTTGATCCGAGATTGTCTTGGACAGTTTGCCACATTGGGATCAACAACAGGCTTCGGGTTATTCCTAAGATCAAATATTTCAGAAATATTCATATATATAATCTCTGTTAGTGTCTTTGTCTTTCCGGACATAACTCATGAACCATAGGACCGATTTGCCTCAAATTTTGATTGGGGAACTCATTAGAATCACAGGAATGTTCCTATCTTCAAATCAAATCAAACCATTTATTTCTGCAGAAAAACAATATTTATGAATTTCATTTTTAATTTTCAAAAGGTCTAAGCTGAATAGGTTGACTCTTATAAAGAAAATTTTGATTCCAAACAAAGCTGAGTTCCTAAGCTAGTATATCTCAAAAAAAAATTTGCAATTATTCAAAAAAGTAACTTTTGTACCTTTCTCGTAAAAGATATCGGAGAAGTATGGAAGGTGGCCCAATTGGTTCTGAACTAAAATTTAAAAAAATAGTAAGTTTTTCAACATACATATTCAAAGCATTTTGAATGAATAAGCGGTGTCATGCATTATATGTGAAAACAGATAAAAAAAATTATTTGTAGCATTGTTTTCATAACTAAAAATTTAAAGTCTGAATCCAGAATCTTAAAACAATAATGGATAAATATTTGTAGTCCTTGTTTTTCAAAATGTCACCTGCCTTGTTTTTGCCTTCTTTCAGTTTTAACAGAAGGTAAAATTGTTAATATTATTTTATTTAATTAAAGAAAAATAATATTTGAAAGACACTTTGAACCATAAGTAATTCTGATTTAAAAAAGGACAGTTTATTGCTGATTTATATCTCTATAAAATCAACGTATGTTTAGTGTTTACACTTAGTACACTTACACACCGAAAGCTTAGTTGCGGGTGCTTTTTTAATCAGATATAATCATGAGGAAAACCGGATTGGGCCGGTGGAAAAAACAATGATTTACGAAAATCAAAACTAAAGAAATTTATTTACCTAGAATTATCGAGTTCATCATTTTTCTCATTTTTTCTGATTATCTTGTTTTCCGTTTGTTCTTGTTGAACACAAAGCTGTCTCTGCCCAGTATCTGTTATCTTGTTGTGACCAGTATCTGTTACATGTCTATCATGACCAGAATCTGTTGGCTGTTCATCTAACAGCTGGCTAACATTACAGTCTATAATCTTTTTGAGTTCTCCTAGCCGCCCTATTGAAAAAGACAAAAAACTTTTTATTAATTTACTATTGATTTTATTATCATTATTTTTACTATTATTATCAGTATTATTTTTATTATTTTTAACCAATTGCAAATTTGTTAGCAGAAATTTAAAAAATTCATAATTTTAAAAACTATTTGTTTGAATGTCGTCTTCTTCTGAAAATACTTTGTGAGATGTGCGAGAAAAGGTTGGAATTTATACAAGGTTACCCAGAAAGGATGAGACTTCGGAGACGATTGTACAGAATTTTTACTGTCTGTTTCATCATGTTTATGATTTTAATTATTAGAAGCCATTATAATACCATATATATTCACAGCAGAAGACATAATTCAACCTCGGAAACGTCAAATTTAAAGAGCTTTTAGATCGTATTTACAGTCTCATCCTTTGTGGGTAACCCTGTGTTAAAAAATACGTTTTTTCCGATTTTTAGTTAAAGAAACCCACCAAAAAAATAATTAATAATAAGTCCTTGATTGATATAATTAGGATTCTTAAATTATTCTTCAACGAAAGAAACAAATTTATGAACGTTAAGATATATATATATATAAGGCGGGGCCGAACCCAGATCTCAGTACCGATTTTTCAAAGAAACGTTAAAAATGTTGCCAGTGTAACTCTATTCTTTGTGAAAGAAAAAAATGTTGAGAAAAATATTGTACAGTGAAACCCTTAATAACGAAAACATCGAAAGAATATATCACATGTCGTATCTTCTCTTTCTGATAATGGAATGTTGCAGATATTTAGTTTTTCACTTAAATGATTATATGGAACTCTTTAAAACTGTTCCCAAATATTCATTGATGCTTATTTATTTGCGCAAATACTGAAATTTACGTAATATAGTATAAAACTCATTGAAAAATTGTAAGGACGACATTTGATAAATTCTTCCGATGTATACGTTATTCAGGGTTTCACTGTAACGGAACGGAAATAGTAATCTTTTCTAACCATAAAAAGGCTGGGGGGAGGAGGGTGTAGTCTGAATCAATGGGGGGGGGCGTCCCTTGCCCTTTACCCCATGTTATCTTAGAATAAGGCTTTACATTTACGGAATAGAGGTGTGAAATATACATGTTCATTAAAAAAAAAATTTTAAATGCCTGTAACTTTGGGGTGTTAGGGAGGTTTAAATAAAATGGCAAAAAAAGGATGCAGGAAAAATGTTAAATAACTTGTTGTTAACAAATATTAACATATTTAATGGTTTTTCAACCCTTGTCAAACCCATGGGTTCCCTAAAAAAAAAATTTCTAGGCCAGCATGAACTAACAAATACAGTGTAAATACATAAGAAAATGTTATAAACGAAGAACTTCTATAAAGAAGATAAATGCGATGTAATTTTACGAGAAAAAAAAAACAAAAATAACGGTTTCAATTCAAGGGATTGCAGACATTATTGTAAGTGAAGTTTTAATTGAATAAGTGTAGAATACAATTAGTTTTCATGCCTATCTTTGCTGTGTTTTGTAAAGAATTGTAATATAGAGAACTACAATTGAAAGTGATCGTTGTAAATCAGAAATGCAATTCTTTAAATGTAGTCACTTTAAATTACGTCAACAGATTCTTAAAGATGTTTTTTATTCACCTAATTCATTATAAAGTTTATTTAACAGTTTAAAAAATTCGAAATTGAAATGAATAGTCTAGGGAACATACTGTATTAATGTACTCTACTGCATATAATTTGTGAACATTTACATGGTTTGTACACTTTGAACTCCCTTTCAGACTGAAAGGGACTGAAAAAATTCATACCGAGAGATTCTTTAAATTCCCCTCTAATATATATTCTATTCTCTAAGAAGCATAAAGCCTGACCGCGTCAACCCTGTTGCAGCGGCTAGTCCAGTATGTGTTAGGTACAATACAAACTGGGACCGGAAAGGTTGACCCGGTTCGGAAATTCAAATGTACTACGGCTGCCCGTGAATACAACGCTAAATCATAACAAAGACAATTTTGTACTCGCGCTCTTTATTCTCATGTTTATTGGCACGCCCTGTATTCCACCAGAATTCTTATGTTTTCTGATTCTCACTTTAAATATCAGAATATGAAGAGTAAATCATTCCAATAAAGTCAGGTTATTACTAATTTTTAGCTAATTTTTACTTCGGGATTTTAGACAGAAAAAAGATTAGCACAAAGAATAATTAATTCCGTTAACATTCCTTATAAGCGGTAAAAGATAGTTATTTATTTAAACATTTCATTGAATTATCTTAAGCTAAAATTTTTAATTAAATCCACGTTCATTATTAAATCTTTAATTGTATAATTATTAGAAAAAGGAACTCAGTTTTAGCCACAAATTCTGATTTTCAAATCGCTATGTCTTTGCAACCTGATGGTGTTAACCTTTGATATTTCAAACTATTATTATTTGATCTAAAATAATTCATAGTTTGAAATATCTATGGTCTCTGACATTGAAATGCAAAGATATAGGGATAAGAAAATCAGATTTTGTGACAAAAACTCAGTTCCTTTGGTGATATAATAAAAGGATTTTTAATTATAAATTAGCTTAGCATGTTTATTGTTTAAGAAAGTAGTTTGGGTTTTAATTACAGCTGTTCTTGCATAAATTTATTTTTATCGTAATTGCATAATTTCCAATCATTTTGAGATAAATTTTGTTAAACAAATATCTAGTTTTTTATGTAAACATGAAAAAACATGACGGGCGCATTGCGTCTAGAATTTCCAGATGTACAACTATCTATCTATTAATGGCCTAGGCTTTCCCCAGGTTTTGAACATAAATAAAATATGGGTCTTTACTCAACTTTAGTCATCCTTCATTCCTCATACTCTAATCATCCTTGCATAACATATTCATCCTTCGTTCTTAATTCATCCTTCACAGTTTACAAGTTATCAAAGTGTATCTGTCCTCTAATTATATTCAAAGGTATATTTTTTTCTTTAACTCTTTATTTATTATTTGTTTATACATTTAACTGTTTTCAAATCATCATTAAATCAAGATTATTATTATTATCGTTGTCTTTATTTGGATTTTTAAATTGCAATTTTTTTATTATGAATATTAAGAATTGAAGTGCATTAGTACTTTCATTTTACAAAAACTGTTTAAGTATAAGTCTTCATACTATTATGTTGTTTTTTTAATCATATTAATGCTGAAGAAGTTAAATAAAAAGGTTTGCATGATTTTGCAAAACCTGGCCTGGGTCGGCCTTGACTTGAAAAAAAAATGCAGCTTTCGCTGTGAAAGGGTTCAGATTATGCAATGTTGGCAAATAAATATATAACAAATAATATTTAATTAAAATTTATAGTGATTAGACACAAAATAGTTCATTTTTTCATCATTTAATTCATTCTATTCATCATATTCATCCTGTCCTATTAATCCTATTCATTCAATTCCTTCTATTTATTCTATTAATTCTATTAATCCTGTCCTATTTATTCTATTTATCCTATTCATTCTATTCATCCAATTAAATCTATTTATCCTATTCATTTTATTTATCCTTTTCATTCTATATATCCCATGCATTCTATTCATCCAATTAATTCTATTTATTCTATTCATTCTGTTCATTCTATTCGATCTATTCATTCTATTCATCCTATTCATTTCTTCCTATTCATACTATTCCATTCTATTAATTCTATTAATTCTATTCATTCAATTCATCCTATTTATTCAATTCATCTTTTCATTATATTCACCCTATTCATTCCATTCACCCTATTCATTCTTTTCACTATATTCATTCCATTCACCCTATTCATTATATTCACGTCACCCTATTAATTCTATTCATCCTTTCCTATTCATTCCCATCATGATCGACTATTGAAATTATGTATAATACACGCAAATCTGCCCCTTTGGTAAAAGTAAATTCAACCTATATGAAGCCATATACTTCTTAAGTACACCTTGACACAAAGGTGGGCATCGTTTTTTCAACCAACAAAATTGTTAGAACATTTTTCAAAAACGAACAGAGTAAACAAAAACGGACAGAATAAACAAAAACGAACATAATAAACAAAAACGAACAGAATAAACAAAAACCAACAGAGTAAACAATAACAAACGATTGCAAATATTTGAATAGTAGTGAAATCTTGATTTTAGCTCCAATTAAATGACCAAAATGCAAAATCTGGAGGTCTCTGATGAAAATCTGGAGGTTTCTGATGAAAATCTGGAAGGCTCCGATGAAAATATGGAGGTCTCCGATGAAAATCTGGAAGGCTCCGATGAAAATCTGGAGGTCTCTGATGAAAATCTGGAGGTCTCCGATGAAAATCTGAAGGTCTCTGACGAAAATCTGGAGGTTTCTGATGAAAATCTGGAGGTCTCTGATGAAAATCTGGAGGTCTCTGATAAAAATCTGGAGGTCTCTGATGAATATCTGGAAGTCTCCGATGAAAATCTGGAGGTCTCCGATGAAAATCTGGGAGTCTCCGATGAAAATCTGGAAGTCTCCGATGAATATCTGGAAGTCTCCGATGAAAATCTGGAGGTCTGTGATGAAAATCTGGAGGTCATTTGGGTCTCCGATAGTACTCCAGACTCAAGTGCCGGTATAAAAATGAGTTTTTTTTCGAAAGCTTTTATTAAGCATAAAACTTTAAATATTATGTTTTTTTCTGAGACAAAACTTTAAAAAATAAAAATCTGAAACCGAACCGCTAGGAAATCAATGTTAATATTTTTCTTTTTTTAAGGGCAACATATTTTCTTATTTTTCTCACAACTAAAATCTCTAGCTTTTCCCCATGATTCACTAAATCGAAAGAATATCAGGAAAATACTGGGAAAAGGGTCCTCAGATGGTTCCAGGTTTAAGAGAAAATCTTATTTTGAAGAAGAGAAAAGTCAAAGGTAGAAGATTATAGCCTGTCTATTATCTAAATTTCAATATTCTAATATTTCTATTTTTCCATCTTAATATTAACCTATCTATATCTTTAA